GAATTTCACGAGTTGACAATAGAGAAACACAGCAAGCCTCCAATCCAATGTTAATCAAGTCTTTCAATGGGCTGCAGACAATGACATGATGTTAAATAAGTTCAAATTACTGGGCCATAAAAAAAAGAAAATAAAGCAGAAATCACATATAAAACAAAGTAAAAGATTTATGAGTAATCATGATGAAAGACCATACCATTAAAGAACACAACAAAGTTGCTGTCACAACTGCAAGAAAAATTAAAAGTTGGATAAATAGAACCTTCCAAACAAAGGAGATGCCATGCCAATGATGATACTTTTTAAAACATTAGTGCTCCCTGAGTGGAATATTGTTGACCTTAAGAGCGTGCAAAAATCTCTTACCGCAAGAATCCACTCAATATAACATCTAAATTATTGGGACCTAAAATTTTTAAAATTTGTATTCCCTGGAGTGTGGGCAGGAAAGATACATAACTTACACCTGGAAAATATTAGAACATCTGGGTCCAAATCTGCATACAGAAATAACACCTCAGGAGACCAGAAGGCATGACAGAATGTGCAAAAAGTCCCACTGAAAAGTAGAGGTGCATTAGGCACGATGAGAAAGAACTCGGTCAATATCAAAGGCCTAAGACTTTTCAACACACTTTCCCTACACATATTAAGCATAACTGGTTGACCTCTCACAGTGTTTGAAAGAGAACTTAACAAGCACCATCAAAGGATACATGATCAACCAGCTTTGATTCATCCGTCAGGCTGAGAGCAGCCACATCCAACGATTGGTTGATCAGACCAGAAACCAGGAGGGAGACAGGGCCATGGGGATGTTTATCCTCGGAATCAACAGGTAAACCACCCTTAACTGCCCCTTGAAACAGGAAAGTCAAATTAAACTATTTTTTCTGACAACAGGCTGAGCTTGTAGCAAAATACATGTAACTCAAAATTGATAACAGGTAAACTCAACTCAAAAAGTTAAATAAAAAACTTTGCTGTATTACTATGTAGAAAATCATAATACAATAAAGGACTATTTTATACCCAACATAAAGGCATTTGGCGTTTGCCTTAAATTGAACAAAAATATTCTAAACTTGAAGAGCTGTATTCAGAGCAGTAAAACAATATTCAGTATATCATTCAACTTTATTTTAAAACTTCTACTGCTTCTTCTGTCAGAGAATTCATGTCTGAAGAACTTTCCGTCAAGAATTCCTTATCATGGTCAGCAAACTTGCTAGCCATATCTGGTGGTATTTCTACTGATGATAGATCATCCACACCAATCTCGCCTTCAGTTCTGAAAGTACAAAAAAATAAAAATAAAGGACACTGTATAATATAAAAGTAAAGAGAGAATGTAATTGCTCTGTAATTAGCTTCCAAATAAAATAATGTAAAATTAAACTTTGTGAGTGATCGGTTGAGAGGTTGTAGCATAAGCTGACAAATACAAAATTAGGCCAAGCAAATATTAATCTCTGCACTGCACCGGCCGAGAAAACTCGGTCAGTGGGAACTGCGCGAGCCGAGAAAACACCTTTTTAATATTTCGACCCCATTCAAAATGCGTGGGCGGTAGGTTGTGTATGAAATGGACTCTTGGGACCTCTAGTGAGAGGCAGCCATCTTGGAAAAAAAGGCCAGACTGCCATAGGGCTGCTGGCTGGCTTAGTACCCAGTGAGCAACCATAGGTGTCACACTCACCTCTGGCTCCCAAACACCTGTTGAAAGACAACTGTCTGTGAAATTCAGACCTTATTGTTTGAAGAACATAAGGGTCATGATATTGATCAAGCTAGGTGCAATAAGAACCTAACACAAAGGTCGGATGCAAGGGATACAGCACAGATGAGGACGATACAGTGAGCGTATCCAGTTGAAGCTCTGGGCGCCTCCCTTGCCCACCCATGTAATCTCCACTTTTTATAGATGAATTATTTTCTGGATTCAGTGATGATGCATCTGATACAAGTAGCATAGATGAACAGTGTTAGCAACTACCATGGTGGTGGTGTGTTCCATATTTTCAAGAATATCTGAATATCTTCCTGATTGACTGAATCTCTTCCAGAATGACTGAATCTCTTCCAGTGAGTGCCCTTACAAAGCAATCTTTTCAAGACTTCCTTACAAATTGATCTTTTCCTATAATCTATAAAGAAAAAACACCTACAGGTACCAAAGCCAAGGAACGTGAGTGTGTTATTTGCAAGCACACAGAACGAAGAAACAGGAAGCGAAAATCTATATGTACCTGGTGCAACGAGAACGAAGTTGCGCTGTGTACCATTGACTACTTCATTGATTATTACTCACTTCCGAAGTACTGAGTGTGTAATACAGTGTGTTACTGTTTAAATAGTGTGTGAAACTGTACATATTGTAATTTTAGTGAATTTTTAACAAGTAATATTGCAACAATAAACATTGTGAACACATTACTGACACATGTATCACAGTTCCATGGAACATTATGAACATTGTACTGTCTATATACTGCAAAGTACATAAATATTCATCATATATGATAAAAAACAAATAAAACTACATTGAAAATACATAAAACAAATAATTGAAAATATATTTGTAGCAACTTGTGGTGCTTGAATGGAGCGCACGACCGCCTCTGGGAGCTTCATGCAAGGACGACCAGCCCATGATGCCCCATTCTCCATGTCCCCACAGCCAAAGTAAGTGGAATTTTCTAGTTTTTTACAAGGAAGGGAATTTATCATTTTACAAAATAAAAAAGTATTTTTTTGCAAACACTTGATTTTATGTGCACAGGGGGGAATGTCACAGTAAACTCGGTGCATCACAGTGGTTAATAACAGGCGCAGGGAGTCTGCCTCCCGAACTATCAGCTGGTAGCAAGGAACCCCACCGTATTAATACTGTCCATATGGCTAGGAGGGGTACAGCTGAGACAGCCAGTGTGGGGAATGAGGAGATGGAGGTAGTGGGGAGGGACCGTTGTGTGGGATGGGGATGTCTTGGGGAGGGACTGAGAGTGACCAGCTCCTATGTTAGTCCTAGTCAGAAGCTTGTCCACTCACGCCACCGCTTGCCTGCCCACTGCTACCCACCCACCCATTCTGACCACCCATCCTGCTACTCATCTGCCCACCCACTATCTCCTGACTGCCCTGCTACCCACCCGCTCTGTGCCAGCCCTGCCACCCATTTCCTTTGAATACCATCAGCCACCCACCTCCTTAGTCTACCATCTGCCACTCACTTGTTCTGCTGCCTGCACGCCAACTATGCCTACTCCGCCAACCATCTCACTACTGCCCGCCTGCACACACTGACACCTGCCTGCCTGCCTATCCACCCACTTTGCCACCCCACCTGAGAGGACTACTCATCCATCCACTCACTATCACCTACCCACCCACTCGCCCTCCATGTGTTTTTCCCTTATATGATTTTAGGGCTAGTGTTTCTGAAAGATTTTCATTAACTTACCCCCCCCCCATCCCACTCACCTGCCATCCATCTGGACCCCCCCCCCATCATCCATTCAGTTCCCCCACCATCCATCCAGTCCCCCCCCCCCACCATCTATCCTGTTGTCCTCCCAAATACAATATTCAAGTGTAATCGTCACTAGGCAGGAGGCACTGGTAAACTGAAGCACGCCTTGCCTGTGCCACCAGGTACCACGCACTCGGTCGACCCATACGTGCATCAACAAACTCATCGCCAAGCAAGGTAAAGGTCGTCTACCGAGTCAAATTTTTACAAAGAAATTGAGTTCGTAACCCAAAAAATTCATAGAGGGATGGTCGTCAACCGAGGTTCAACTTTATTGTCGAGCAACACAGTCCAGTGGTTAATTATAACCAAATCTCAACATTACAATTGAATTACGTATATCTGTAGTCGATATATGTTACAGTGTAACATTTTCACAGGTAATGTGTGAGCACAAGAAATCAAGGTGAGCTGCACCCATGACTAAACGGTCGCCATTAATACGGGTCCAGGATGAACTGCATGTGGTAGACCGAGTTTGATGTTAGACCAGCTTACACTCTACATATCAGCTGAGAGTTGCAAATTTTATTAACATATCTTAATCTAGATTAACAAATTAGTTCTTTAGTTCTACGGTTTAATTAAGGTAACATTTAAATAATTTAAGACTCCCAGGTTGAGTGAAGGAAAGTTTACTGATGATGATAAATCATAAAATTACAGTCTACTCATAAGTAATGAATAAGTAATAAATACAATTAAATACTGTCCATCATAAATAAATCACCGGTAGATTTCCCCACAATCAGAGACAGAGATAGCAAAATTCGCAAATGCGACTACCATAAATCAGAGGCAACAAGAAAGACACCTTGAAAAAGAATCCTCACCAGAAGAAACCATAAATCTAGGATAGGACAAACAAGAAAAACTCAAAGATCAAGAAGGTTTAGGAAAAATAGGAGCCAGCTGGGGTTGAGAAAAGAGGTTAGAAACAGTCATCCCAAAAATAAGAGAGGCTCTGTCAAAGCTAAATGATAGGAATTGACTGCATTGGGCTAAAGACAGTGCTTCACAAATAGCTGTGATAGAAAGAATATGATGACAGGCATAGAAACATAGCAAATGGACAGCAAATGGCATGTTAAGGCCAAAACGGCCACCAAGCCACCTCATTCTAATGCTTGGAAGGAGGAATAAATGCAACACAAAAAGTGCCACCACCTCATCTCCATAAAGGTAACAGTACTAATGGCTCATAGCTCATAATCTACAAACACAATGATCAGTGGATAAACCCTCCAGGAAAATAAGGCAGCTGATTGAGAGAGGCAAAGTTACAGGAATGGCAGAGGTTGCCTTGTACTGTACTTCAAGTTGAGCAATATAAGCGTTTGCTTGCACGAGTCAAGAATTGCAATTCATTGAAACAGAAATAATAAGATGAACATTACAATATTACACACAGATATTAAAAATATGAAGATGAATAAAGACTTTACCTAATGAGGAGATTGACTATATCCTCATTGAGCATGATGCAATGCCGCTTCTCTTCCCACTTGTGGTGTTCTCGAAGAATGAGGTAGACATTTTGTTTCCTCATAATCTCTCGACCTTCACGAGTGATGCACAACTGCAAAAAATTTATTTATTGCATTATCATACAAAAAATGAAAATCTCCATGTGTTTTACATATTTGTAGAGGAGGCAGTGAAACTTCATTGCAAGACCACTGCAGCCTGGTCACAGGGTTCAGGGTTCAGTAATTTCAGAGCCACCCATTAACCCCTGCACTGCACACCTTATATAATGATATTCTTGTGGTGCGTCGAAAATAAATTGTTAATAAAAAAAAAAAAAAAAAAAAAAAACGTTACCTTGAGATGATTTTGGGCCTTAGCGTCCCCGCGGCCTGGTCCTCGACCAGGCCTTTTTGTTACACATACCCCAGGAAGCAGCCCATAGCAGCTGTCTAACTCCCAGATACCTATTTACTGCTAGGTAACAGGAGCATCAAGGTGAAAGAAACATTTTGCCCATTTGTCTCCGCCTCCACCGGGGATCAAATTTGGAACCTCAGGACTACGAATCCGGAGCGCTGTCCGCAAAACTGTCAGGCCAGTCCACCCAGCTGTCAGGCACCTGAGCTGAGTGTATTGAAACGCCATTTTCTGGGTGAGCCCCAGAAAATGGGCCTACGGGCCGCCACGACCCATGTAAGGCACGTGAACACACGAGGTGCCAGGTTCAATCCTAACGGGAGACCGAAAGCGGTAACCCTGACGCCCCCACAACAGACCCGAGCCAGTCCCTGAACCCCGGATGAATCGGGACATGCCAACAAGCGTTCTGGAGGTCCAGGGACACCATCCAAGCGCCCTGCTCCAATAGGAGCCGAACCTGGGACAGCGTAGTCATCTGAAAGGAGGGGCAATGAACCCAAGGGTTCAGACGGGACAACTCCAGAGTGAACTGCAGGTCCACACAGTCCTGTTTCAGGACAGGAAAGAGACGAAAAACCCATCTGAGGGACGTCGTCGTTTCGACCACGCCCAAGCGAACCCACTCCAAGATGACCTGACAAGAGCGCAGGGAAAGAGGCCTGCCTCGCCAGCCCCAAACTCCCCGAAGGAGGGGGCTACTCAACGCCACCGGATGCCGCGTGAAATGACCCGAAACGCCCACAAATTGTGGGACGAGGCGTGAGCGAACAGCGCAAGCCACCCCCCCATCACCCCGTCAATGGGGCGAACCGCAAAAGGGCCGGTGCCCCTTACGAGACCCAGAACCTCGCACAGAGCGAACACCACGCCGACCAGACAAAGGCGGGTTCGAAGGAGGTGCCAAACCCAAACCCGACACAAGTGGCTTACCACGACAAGAGGAACCCCGAGCCTTGGCACGACCCTTCCGGGAAGGACCTCCACGGAACCCCCGGAGAACCAGCAAGTCCGATATAGGATGGCAAGAAGCCAAAGCAGCCTGAATATAATGTGCAACGGCTGAAGCCTCAAACAGGAGAATACAAAAAGCCCAAGCAGATTCCACAGAAGAGGCAAGCACCGCCTGCCGGGACGCATAAAACAGCACCACCACATCCCACATGATCGGCGCAAAAAGCTTAAGCAAGGCAACCGACGAGCGAGCCGCCGAGGCCAAGGGGCCAGAACCAGGAACAGTCCCAAGCACCAAGCCATCCTCCGTGAGCCAGGCCGAAGATAGTTCGAGGAGGGAAAAGAATCGCAAGGCTGAAGCCAAAAGGCCCCGGGCGCGCAAGTCCTCAGTCACCAGCACTGCCGAAAGGGAGGGAACCTGCACATGGAGCTGAACGACACCAACATCTCGGGAAAGGGCAGGAGCAAACGAGCACTCATTGGGGTGCACTAGGTCACTCCCCCAGGAAAACCTGCAGCACCGTCGAAGTCTCCCGCCACTCAAGCGTGCGAGAACGGCAGAAGGAGTGCCAGCCCTCCAAGGTAAAGACAGGACTGTCCACCAGCCAGGACAACTCCGGAACCTTGTAACGGAGCCAGAAAGGGAACGAAGTCCCACACCTGAAAGCCGAGGGGTCCATTGCCAAGGCATAATCCGGGTCACGCAGGTGGTTTGCCGCAAGATCGAACTGCACAGATCGAACCGCACCGCAGCAGATTGGATGCGATAAGCCGAAAACATCCGGAAAGACGGAACCGAACCAGGGGAACGCCAGACACAAAGTCCAACGAAGCACTAGTCACCAAGCAACGGTGACTTCGCACCCCCCCTCACCAGAGGGGGGAAAAAGAAACCCCACTCCTTGTAACAGTAAACCCCGCTCAGAGGGCAGAAACACCCAGGCGGGGTCCAGCGGGGCCCAAAGCCTCTAAAGTCAGCCCCTCCTCAGCCCCAAGGTCGTCCTCCGCAGGACCCGGGGCCGAGTCTTCCCCCCAAAAAAGCCTGACCTGTCCCAGGTCAGGCTCCAAAAGAAGCCTGACCTGGGACAGAGCGGTCATCCGAAAGGAGGGGCAAGGAATCCAGGGGTACAGACAGGACAAGTCCAGAATGAACCTCAGACTCGCAGTCCCGATTCGCATCCCTCCCCATTTCCTCCTGGGGAGGGAGTGCTGCGCGGACAAGCGGCACAGCAGCAGAGTATGATGTGTGCTTGTTTCTTTAGGTTTTGCGGGAGTTCTGCCTCTGTTTCATCTTTGGTTGCAATTTCTTACCAAATGGGGTCTGTTTTGTTATGCCTACCTTTCTGGGTGCCTATCCCAGGTCGATGGCAGACATGGAATGAATGCTCCCAAACACATGGGGGTTTCCATAGGCCATTGCTCCCTGTGCCTCTCTGAGGGGGGGCCAGGTTCTGGCTCATGGTCCCCGGTAGGTTGAACTCCTTTGACTGATGTCCCAGACTAATATAGCATATATCAAATCTGATAGCTCCAGGGAGCTTGAGGGGCTCCCCACAGAAAATATAAAATTTTCTTGTGCAACCAGTGATAGGCAGTTGGAACAAACTAACTGAGGTGGAAGTCAAAACCGTCATTAGTTTCAAAGCATTATACAACAAAGAGTACAGTACTGGGAAGAAGAGACACCATGAGCATAGCTGTCATCTTGTAACTACACTTAGATAATTGCCAACTGGAATCTCTGATAGTTGACCAGAAAATTGAAGCAGCCCAAATGGAAAAGACAAGAGTTCTGGCAGCCAATAAAAATGTCACTGATACAGGCAAGTCAGGCTGAAGTCTGGGAGTCACTTTCAAACCAAACAGTGGCGCCCGAAAGTGGTACGAGATGTACACTAAATCTGAGTGAAGGGAAATGTATCAATACAGGTATCCTGATGATATAGGAAAAGGAGACATGAGCTGCTTGAAACCACCTGGTGATGCTGGAACATGGCCATCCAGAATGTGGAATAAGGAATGTACCTTTGAGAACAGACAAGCCTAGACTGAAGCTTTGAAACAGGGAAGAAGAGAACACCATCCACAAGAAGAATAGGGTGTCACCGTGACTTCATCCTTGTATAACAAATTGCAAATAATGTTGTGGAGTAAACAGTTAAGTAGGTCTCATTCACCAGAGGTGGGAAAGACGAAACCTAACAAAAACTGTGATGCACCCCTCGATATGCCCAGATATGCTAAGACCAAGCTTGATGAGAGGCACCGAGACCTCCCCCCACGACAACGTCACCGAGGCATCCCATGAGACGGTAGATGGGATGAGCTCCAAAATCTGGCAGACCTGGGTGAATGCTAAGAATCCATCTGTAGAGGAGCTAAAAGGTACAAAGGCAGAATCACATGTACCACAGCAATTGGTGCACTATAAACCCCTACTACGGACAGTAGTCTATGGAAAATTGACAGCACCTCCAAGAAGCCAAAATTGGAGCCAGTAGCTGCAAGTAAAACATCTGGCCAAGTGGCAGAACGTCCCTGAATGGTCCCCCCCCCCTGCCCCACACAGGAAAAGGAAAGAAGTGAACAGACTAAAGAAAAGGAAAGTGACAAAATGAACTCTCTTGTATAGAATCTAAAACAGCCAGCCAGATGGCACAGTGAGCAGCATAGAAGTCTGTCACCACATCCCACAGGACCACAAGGGAAATGATGGGAGGTCCGTCACCAAATTGTTGTCAATTCTATTTTAGTACTGTAGTTTCGTATACTTCCAAAACATTTCTCAAGTTTTAGCATTTTGTGAACTTTCATAGAATTAGGAAGTTTGTCCAAGTATTGGGATAATCTCCGAACCTCTTTAGCTCCATGCCTTACTGACAGGCAAAGAGGAGTTTGCAAGGGATCTTGTCCTTAGTAAACAATGAGTCTATTGATACCTGGCTTTGTTAATGTTTGTCTAGTGAAAACCAGAATGCATGGTAGGAAAGCAATTGATATAAAGGAGCAGTTAAGAAACTAAAGATCAATTAGACAAACTATATGAAGACAAAATCAAAGAATGAAAGGTATTACTGTACATGGCTTTTCTAATACAAATTGCATGTTGGATAAAAAGCTTCAAATAATCTGGCTAATCAATATATACACATGTTTTTCTTTCTTCAAAAAAAAAAAAAAAAAAAAAAAAAAAAAAAAAATTTACCTGCATTAAAGACTCTAGCAATAATCTGCGAATTTTCTGATCTGGTTCTCTTTCCTTATCATCTGGGAGGTACTGCAGGTCAATTGGTAAGGACTCATTCTCTTCTTCTGTAAAAGTGTCAGGTCCCGCGAGCGGCAGCAGAAGACGGGGCACCAGGTCAACATCCTCACCCATTAACCACGGGTGGTATTCTGCATCACAGCACATGGATAAAAATAAATAAAATGAAAATATATTGAAATAAGAAAAATCCAGCACTGAATATAACGAAATGTCTCTTACTGGACTGAACCCTGGTGGCTCCCTCAAGCTATCTTGCCGTGATTGCTTCTATCTACTAGATTGCATCGGTTGTGGGAGTCCTGTTTGCCCCCCTCCCCCCCCTCACAAAGGCATAGAGAGCAGGTGACATTACACCACTCAACTAGGAAAGCATCTAGAAAGTAAGCGAAGCATTACAGAGTATATGCAGCAGTATATAGCCTGTATAGTATAGTATAATATAGTGTGTGTGTATATATTATATTATATTATATTATATATATATATATATATATATATATATATAATATATATATCTATATATATATATATAGTTTAAATATAGATATATACCAAACCTAACCAACCCTATATATACATATACATATACATATACATACACACACACACACCTTGCATAGTAGGCTGACACACACACACACACACACACACACACACAGACATTTTTGGGGATTGCGGACAAATGTAAAACAGAACCAGGTCTATTCTATAAATTCATAAACAACAAATTGCAGGTAAAGGATAATATTCAGAGGTTGAAAATGGGAAATAGATTCACGGAAGATGAAAAGGAAATGTGTGAAACACTAAACGAAAAGTTCCAAAGTGTGTTTGTACAAAATGAAATCTTTAGGGAACCAGATACAATAAGAATTCCAGAGAACAACATAGAACACATAGAGGTGTCTAGAGACGAAGTGGAAAAAATGCTCAAGGAGCTCGGTAAGAACAAAGCAGCTGGCCCAGATGGCGTTTCACCATGGGTTCTGAGAGAATGTGCATCTGAGCTCAGCATTCCACTTCACCTGATCTTTCAGGCATCCCTGTGTACAGGAATCGTAGCAGACGGGTGGAAACAGGCTAACATAGTTCCAATCTACAAAAGTGGCAGCAGGGAAGACCCCCTCAATTATAGACCTGTATCATTGACAAGTGTAATAGTGAAAGTATTGGAAAAACTAATCAAAACTAAATGGGTAGAACACCTAGAGAGAAATGATATAATATCAGACAGACAGTATGGTTTTCGATCTGGAAGATCCTGTGTATCGAATTTACTCAGTTTCTATGATCGAGCCACAGAGATATTACAGGAAAGAGATGGTTGGGTTGACTGCATCTATCTGGACCTAAAAAAGGCTTTCGACAGAGTTCCACATAAGAGGTTGTTTTGGAAACTGGAAAATATTGGAGGGGTGACAGGTAAGCTTCTATCATGGATGAAAAATTTTCTGACTGATAGAAAAATGAGGGCAGTAATCAGAGGCAATGTATCGGAATGGAGAAATGTCACAAGTGGAGTACCACAGGGTTCAGTTCTTGCACCAGTGATGTTTATTGTGTACATAAATGATCTACCAGTTGGTATACAGAATTATATGAACATGTTTGCTGATGATGCTAAGATAATAGGAAGGATAAGAAATTTAGATGACTGTCATGCCCTTCAAGAAGACCTGGACAAAATAAGTATATGGAGCACCACTTGGCAAATGGAATTTAATGTTAATAAATGTCATGTTATGGAATGTGGAATAGGAGAACATAGACCCCACACAACCTATATATTGTGAGAAATCTTTAAAGAATTCTGATAAAGAAAGAGATCTAGGAGTGGTTCTAGATAGAAAACTATCACCTGAGGACCACATAAAGAATATTGT